AATAAATAGTAACCATGTTACCAACAAATGTTATCCAAATGTAAACAGTGGATTTTAAACAAATTATTTAATCATAAAAACAAAAACATTGGGCATGATGACCATGCTATTTATATTAGTTAGCGTTTGGGTTCTCAAAATGATTATCTAATCAGATAAGAAGTCTCACAAGAGTAAGGTTGCTACTTTCAATGTCTAAATCAAGTTGGTTTGAACCTAAAAAAGACTCTAAACTCAATCCTCACTATCTAAACCCCAGAACCTGCATCCAATCATTAATCAGTACTAGTGCAGCCTCTGCAGCTCAGTGAGTAAATTCTGGAGGTTCTGAGCTTTCACATGAAGCAAGACGTGTCTGTTACTGAGAATGAACAAATTTGAATGTATATTCTACATGCACAAACCTAGGTACAATGGTGACTGTAGTACCTTTGTTAAAACTGTAAGGGTGTAGGAAATATACTGGCGGTTTAAATTGTACATATGATTTGGATATAAGATTCTGCACAACCCTACTTGTCCGCATTCTTCCAATTGTCCAAAAAACTCACCAGAAACTCGTCCCGAATGAAGTATTTTGCTCTTGTGACACGAGGGTCCTCACTTGGTTCTGGTATTGCTGTTGAAGAGAAAATTGTCAATATGAAAAATAACTTGAGGTACTAAAATTACTATGGTTGCATATATATATATACAGCTATGTGTTCTTTGATATTTAAAATTAAAAAAAAATTATTACCATCATCAGGTGTAGTGTATCTTGCAAACTCTGGGAAATAGTCCTCAATTTTAGATTTCCCTGCCAAAACCTTCTCAGCGAGTAGGTCCTGCTTGTTCAGAAAGAGAATAACTGAAATGGTCCGTAGCCACCTGGAAAACATATGAAAAGTCAATTCAATAACTTTAAAACTTTGAAGAATGGGCAGGACACATCTGTTTTTAAATACAATACCCACTAACTGTAATAAACATTTAGTAAATTAAGTATCACATTCACTTCACATCTTGTATGTTTTTCCCCCCAAGTTGAGCACCTTCAGAAATATTGGGCTCATCAAGTAACATACTTAAACTAAATGTATCAAAAAATACCAAGATCTTACACTGGCAATAAAATGTTTAAAGTACAATGTGATGATGATTTTCAGCACTGACCTGTTGTTCCATATGTTCTTAAATAAGTTGAGGGCCTCCTGTAGTCTGTTGGTCTGATTGTCTTCTCTGATCACCATGTTGTAGCTACTGCTCGCCACCACAAAAATTATAGCAGTCACGTCTGCAACATGAAGAATGGAATAGCATAAAATATATGTATGGAAGCTGCAATACCATGTCATATTCAGTTTATACTGTACATATTTACATACTGTAAATATTATAATATAATATAATTAATATTACATTGTATATACTGGACATATTTACTCAGCCAGGTGCTAGATTAGAGTCCAAACTTAAAAATTGCATATGCTGTTTGTGGGTGTCCCTATTCCACTGCAAATCTAACGTAAACAAGAGTTTAGGGTCTGTGCAAAGGCTGCTGCGTTTCTGCTCTGTACACACACACATAGGCCAACATCATATGACAGTTATGCCTTTTCTGTGGATTACAAAGGGACAGGACCAAAGTGGCACAGGTAAACTGTGTCTCGTCTTTTTTGGTCTATTCTCCAAAGACAGAATTTACATCTGTATTTCCAACGTGTTCAATTTCCACAAAGCTTTTGCTCTCGTTGTCTTTAGCAGTAGCTAGTAAATATGCCCCCTAAATCACTATACATTTTTGATCATTAATCAGTTGAGAAATGATCTTACCATTAAAACACTGGATCCATTTCCGACGTTCATCTCTCTGACCCCCAACATCAAACATACTGTAAAGCAAAGCAGGGCAGCCTTTAAAATACTGTATTTAAGAAGGTGATAAAATATAACTCATTAATAAATAAAGGATACATTATTTATTTATAAACAATAATTGTACATCAACTTACTGAAAATTGACTTTGTCTATTTGAAATCTCGTCTCAAATATCCCAGATGTCAGCACTCTGCATCTCAACAGGTCCTGAAAGAAACAGAGTAAAAAAATGCTTTAACTTCAATTTTTTTTCCAATTTGTACTGACTATATGAGGTCACGTACCTGGTCAGTGGGTGTGTAGTCATGTTGCCTGACCACATCAATTCGGTCTAAAAAGCTAAAAAAAACAAACAAACAAACAATGTTACAACATAATTATGAAAGCCAAATGCATATGGTTAATAGAATCATATACAAATTCAGCTCTTTGAATCTTGCCCAACATGAATATCTCTTGGTTGAGCTATTTTTTAAAATTTTATTTATTCAATTAATTGCAGTGTAAGTAATGGCAAGTCATAAGTCATTTTAAAAATCAACTTGAGCTTTCATCTCCAGAGAAAACCTCACTCCATTCATCCAATATAAAACTCACTGTTGTCAGTATTTCACATATACACAGTCATGTTTTATCATACATGACTGTGTCACTGTTGTGATCTTATATGATTGTGTATTTGAAAAGATGTATTACTTGTGAACTACTGTCTGTCTTACCCAGTACTCCCTGATATAAGCATCTCAATGGCTAAATAAAGGCTAGGTAAATAAAACAGGCTAGCTAAGACTTTGCTGTTCTCCTCACTGTCAGGGATAAACTCAAGAAGATTCAGAGTCCACCAGAGGGCGTGCTATCTAATAGAGTGCAAGATAAGAGCACGCAGCCAGTCTGAGTCACCAGCGGCAGGCAGGCGCGTTTGCTCTGTCAGAGGAGCCTCGTCAATGGAGCCGCTGTAGTAGCACATGCAGAAGGGGGAGCGAGGTGCGCACATCTGTACGCTGCAGCCAGTGCGTGGGTGGGTTGTGGGCCCACAGAGCGCCTATACCCCATTGGGAAGGGTTGGGAACACAAGCTAATTGTTTCTGATGAACTGGCCTACATTTAAGTGGTTTTCAAGGTGTGTGTGTATGACTGAGGAGAGAAGTGGCCCTGATGTTTTCATGATCACTGTATCAGGGTTACTGACTGCAACAACCAAGTCACAAACAAAACAGTCCAGTTCTAGCTTCTCCATTTTTTTTTAAATGCCAATAACAACTTCAAAGACTTTGAACTATGTACATATGATATAGAACTAGATACAAGACCTCTATATAAGCTGTCCTTGTACACTAAGAGTAGAAAGAATTTAAAAAGACAAAAGATTTTGCCACATTTAATGTGGCTGCTACAACATATCAAAACAACACAAACCATAGCATTAGGTTTTGCTTTGACTTATTTTTGAGGACTTAAAAGTGTGGCAAAAACAATAATTACATGGTTTGCAACAGAGAAATAATTGCTGATTGCATTTACATCTTGCCAATATAAGTTATTATTGTGTCAAAATCCTAAAATATGCAAATTTTTACTATAACAAAATTATGCTCAAAATATAAATTTTCTTTTGCATGGACTGTGCTTTTTTAACTGAAGCAATGGAAAGGTAAATAAAAAAAATAAAAAAAAAGATAAAAGACTTCACAAACTGTTCATCATCTACAACCCATCAACTATTTTTTGCCAAAAAAATAATTTTAGCAGAAAGAAATGCTTTTATAGACTACACACAAAAAAACTGTTTGACAAAAACACAACTAAATTCATGATACCGTCTCCAGACCTTTATAAGATCTACTATGATATTAAAATATTTTAATTAGCGTTGTGTCATCAGTTCCATGAATCCATGTTCATTTAGGAGTTTGCGAATATAATAAAAGCAGTTAGACTCTACGAGGTTGCAATTTTAGCCCTACTCCTGTGTGATTGTAGGGCTCCACAGCAGCCCGGTTTGACTGATAGTCGGCCCCGCGTTTATACAAGTGGAAAGGCCCAGGGCTTGTATGCTTCTCATGGCAAAGGTATGTAGCCCCCTGTTAGATAACTAGGAATGTGGCACGCAGTGGTGAAATGTGACAGGACTCTGCAGGTAGCATGCTCAGGCCAACAGGGGGTGGGCCAGGGAGACATGTGGTCAAATCACTAACGCAGGATGGAGAAAAAGGGAATTATAAACCGCAAGATGTCCCCATAATACTCTTCACAAATGTATCACCATAGTTATTTATTATGGAGTAATCTGTACTTTTATTCTGCAGAGTTCTCGGATTAACAATATCTGAGCATACTGTATTAAGTGCGGTTTGTGCCCATATAAGCAAAGACCTAAAGGTGTCTATGCTGTCAAAAAGGTTTTAAATACATACTATTTACATTTAGCACTATCACCCAACCCTTACTGTAAATTGTCTGCTCTTTGGTTCAGTAAATATTATAAGAAGACAAAAAAATAATAATTAGAATAAAAATAAAATAAAATAAAAAATGTTATCTTTTCTGAACGGTCTGATCTTCATCAGAACTAGACTTCGTTTTATTTAAGTACAATTATTTTGCCATAAATTACATTAGTGTCAAAAAGTGCATTTTTTAATTATTGTGGCAGGACACCGATATCAAGTATCAAGACTTTTACATAATATTTAAACAGAGTTTGAAAATGTATTATTATAACACAATTCCTTATAATTTTTCATATTTTGTTTCTCGTGCCATGTAGACAAATTACAGCTCTAGAATAAGTAAAGTGAACGCATGACTTCTAAACTTTCAAATCTCTTCTTTTTCACAAACTGAAATGACTTGGGTGGTGATCTGCGAAGTCCCGGTGCACGCTGTTTATCCACTGCTCTGGTCTGAGGCTTGACACACCCAGGGCAAACACAGCATATACAGTTTTTAGCACTTTCACTATTAATAGAAGAAGAGCCAATAATAACTGGTAAGTACGACTAAATAATAGCGGCCCCAGTAACAGTGAGGCGCTCATATTCAGGAGAGCAGACGGAACATGCATGCAGCTCTGGTCCGCCTGAGGACTAAAAATATCACTGCGCTCAGACATTAGTTTTATTATCAACTTTTAAAAACATGACTAATAATAGCCAAAGTCCATAAACCTATTCAAGACTGACTCAAAGAAATGTTATTTTTGTGGCTATATAATACAAATTTAATTATTTAACTTTTTACGCCTATGTACTATTTGCAAAACCTGCACAAGTTTGAAAAGTGATGATTTTTCTGAGTAGTAATGCAATTGGGACTATAACTGCAATATATGTTATACATTTTGAAGCCAGTTCAAAGGGCACAATTTAAACACATCCAAGAGCAATAATATCTGAGAGAATACTAAAATATTACTGAATTATGAATCATTTAGTTATTTAATTAATCCCATAAAACTTCAAAACTCTTTTGTAGAGGTCTAAAACAGAGCGGGTTTTATACAAGACAGCATATTAAAGACATTCTATTAAATAATAATTTCAATAATAGCAATTTTGATTAATTGAGCAGCCCTACTAATAGTGATATACTGATACAAATGTACAAAATCAAACTTTAATTTAAAATTTGCCTTACAAAAGATGCTTTGAGTTAAAAACAAATACAAATTATTTAAAAAACAAACAAACATTGAATGTATACACAAATACACATAAATCTGCATTTTCTGAAAAACCCAATGAAAAATAGAAAAGTAGTAAATGTATTTCACAGAAAACCAGATTTAAGGCCTACATTAGAAATAAAAAAAAAAAGTTAGCAGTTTGAATAGCAGAACTTGTACCCAACTATACTGCAGCGTTTCCTATTAATAGAGGAGACTCTGGTGGCCCTTCTATAGTTGAAAATTCTCCCCCATATTCTAAAAACAATCTGGACTATATTGGCATAACAAGATTAGACCTTGTCGCTCACTGTAATATCATCACCAAAATTATAAAAGAGACTGCACTGGTCAAAAATGACTGCTTAAAGATTAAATAAAGGCAGTAAGTGACATTTACACTACACAAATTGAAGGAGAGTAAATAATTCAAGTGAAAATAATTTCCACTTCCAATTAACACCATAATCTTACCCAAATCTATGGGAAACACTGATATTATGTCTATGTCACCCAAAGTCTATGGGACTCCAGTAATGCACTGATCTTGTTAATCTGGCAGTGTTAAAGCAAAAGATTACCCAGATTACAAACTCGTCCACTTTTCCAAAAACGCTCAGATTGAAGTTCTCTCTCAGAGCAGCCCGCACTGATGAGACAACTCAAGAATGCGCCGCACATGCATTCACTTTAAACAAACACTACAACAAGAAGCAACCCGCTAAAACTATTCAGAATCTGACCCGTTATTTTTAGGACAGGACCCCCTATAAATTGAAAATACCTTGAATCTTGGTACTCGGATTGGTGTGGAGAAAAAAGCTAAACCAATGCATCTTTAGTGAAGTACTGTTCTGCCTCAGAAGCAATCTAGTCATTCAAAAGTGTGTGTAACTAAAGCAAAACTGAAAGAGGAAGGTTAAAATGGGAAAGATATTTATAGACAAACACGGGGAGTGTGACTAATTCAACTATTTTATCTCACTAAAAATAGTATGGACTTGTCTGCTGTTGAAACCACCTCTGTATTTTGGAGGTCTATTTCTGACTAAGTCTAAATCTGAATAAACTGTGAAAAAATATTGATTTGATTTTGAATTTAGCCAAGCAATACAACGAAAAATGGCAACTAGCTTAATAAAGCACATGATGAATAGTACTGTAAAGCTGCCGGTTTGTTACAGTCTATAACAAGTGCGTTTTGTGACAGTAGATTTTTTTATAATTACCATTATGGGTAAAAAAAAATCTCTACTTTGTTTTAACAACAATAATCAGACAATCCTCCAGAAATGTGATGAAAGGCTTAAAACAAAATTAGTAAGTGCTTTTCAAGTGCAGAAATTCAATATTTTCAACATTAAGTTTATAACATTTTTTATTTTAATCGCCTGTTTTAGTAGCATTTTTATTACTATATTTTTATTATTATTATAAAGGGGACACTAAATATACTGTACCTTCAAAATATCATTCAAAATATTACTGGTAATTGTATAAATTGCGCATCTCTTATTTCCATGTTGCAATCATAATATTGTAAATTTGATTAAAATTTTTAAAAAGTTGGAGATTAAATACTTTTCTTATCTTTATCTTAATAAAACCTGTATATTTTGCAAAGAACAACCTTCAAGCAACATAGAAAGTTGAGACCGTTTTTCTTTTCTTTTTTTTTTTAATCTCCGAGAAGAATAGAAATCTGAAGTTTGTTCCTAAAAGTACAAAAGAGGCTGGTAAAGTCATGATGTTGTTTTGTGACAATTTAACTTCAAACTGACAAACTGACAATATTTCAAGTTTTAAAATAATTTGACATATATTTTAACTTTATCTCCAATTTAATAATTATAATCAAGGACAATGCAGACACAAAGTGGAGTTTAAGCCGTCCAGGTGTTTGTTTGCTCCAGTCCGACTCTTAATCAAACACAGCAGAGAGAGACAGAGAAAGGAGGAGAAAAGAGAGAAAGAGTGTGTGTGTGAGAGAGAGAGAGACACAGAGAGAGAGAGAGAGAGAGAGTGAAAAGGAGAGAGAGAGAGAGTGAAAAGGAGAGAGAGAAAGTGAGAGGGAGAGAGAATGAAAAGAGAGAGAAGGAAAGGCTGTGTCTGACATTACAGCGCAGCACCAAAAATAGCTCCCTGGCGCCCTGGCCTCCAGCTCGGTTGTCATAGCGACGGAACCACAGGCGCTATAAATAGACAATCGGCTCCAAATCTTGTGTGACTGGAGAGGGGCCAGGGAGAGGGAACGAGAGAGGGAAACGGGGCGAACAAGAAGAAAGGAAGAAAAAGAGCGATTGAGGAGCCAAAGACAAAGGCAAAAATGACACAGAACAGGCTAAAAGAGAGGAACTAGGGCTAGATTACACACCAGATGGCCATGGTTAATATTTCAATTATGATTTAACAGTAAAAAGTTTAACAGTAAATTTGAATGACTTCAGATTTTGAGAAAATTTTGGGAAAAACATCAATACAGGACAAAACTAGTCCTTTTTTGACAGTCCTGTCTCTTTTAATGCTGCACGTTTGCATATCTCAACCAATCAACCAAATTGAACCTTTTCCCTTCATACTGTCACTGTGTTTACAGCTTTGACCTTTGATTTTGCAGAAGTCTGTACTGTTTCAGTCCTCACTGTTATTTGTTTTTTCATTTTCTGTTTACTTGAGAGCCACCATGTTTGTTTTGACACAAGCTGACCATGCATTTTCCTACTGTCAATAACACTCATCAGAACTCCAGGAGTTAAGACCTTCACAGAAAAGTACAGAAAAAGTGTGCAGTCTTAACTGACCAGGCTAATCAAAAAAGAAAAAATTACAAAACAAGAGACAAAACCAAGAAATTATTATTTGGGCTAACACCAGATGCAATCTAGGGCTAAAGTATATCTGATCCAGGACTGGAGCAGGTCTGAACCACACTAACTTATAATGCAACATTCCAGAGTTACTCTGAAACCAAAATATGATTGACAAATTACCTGAAAACAAGTGAACAAGTAGATTAAATGGGACAAACAGTCCAAATATGTATAAATATCCAAGAAGGCTAATGGAAGCTGTGTGCTACTTGCTATTGCGATGCTAGGTCCACTTGTTGCAATTTGGTTTAATAAAACAATCTGGGGAAATGCCACATCAAAAATGCCTGCAAAGGCTCAATTAGGACTCAACTCAAATTAGTTGTGCTAAAATACACAGACTCCACCAGGAAACACCTTAAAAAGAGGAAAACATCTGTTAATTTAAATCTAAAATAAATGCAAAGCAATGGCAAAAGCATGGCTACAAAAGTAAATGAATTTGCTATTACTGATCACTATATGCATGGTCCAAAAGCCACCTCGCTGGACTTGAGCAGATATTTAGCTCCAGTTAGCTGTTATAAGGGAGCAAACAGATAATAAATTCTGTGAGATCATGTACCTAATTAGAGTAAAAAAAAAAATCAAGTTTCAATACCTTGAGAACATTTTCACCTTTTCATGAAAATGTGGTTATAACTAGGGCTGGGTATCACCATGAAGTTGCCGATACGATACGTATCTCGATACGCAGGCCACGATACGATACGTATCTCGATACAATGCACTTTCGATACGATACGATTCGATACGATACATTGCAAATCGATTCGATACGATTCAGAAAAAATAATGGCTTTCAGCCTCTTACTTAATGATCAACACAATTTTTACAAAAAAAAATTAAACAGTAATGGTGCATTTACCTTCCATTTATTGAAGATTAAAGAACACAATAAAGTGCTTTTTGTTTAATGCATGTTTCAAACTAGAACAATACATACAACTTCAAAAACCTGCAACCTGCATTGGTCATCATCATTCATAGCTTGTATGAGCTTAACAATAACATGAACAAAGGCACATGTGTAGTTTAACTGAGCTAAAGGATCTCACAACACAACTATTAAAAACATTGCTCTGTTTTGAAAACCAAATGTTGCATTTATATTCACACACAGAACCTTCACTAAACTTAGAGGAATGCTGATTTGGTCAACTTAATCAGCCCTAAGAACATTACTTTTCAGCAAACAGAACCATAACAAAAATAAAAATCTATTCAAAGCACTTAAAGATTTTTGTTTAGAAAGAATACACGCTCAGAGGAGACACTAGTCCCTGGGATGCACAAGTACATTTTTGCAAGCTGTGACATCAGTGGATATTCATTCTGATGCTCTTTCCACCAACTAAGTGGACTTCCCTCTGAAAGAGACAAGGCTGGTGCCTCCTTGTACCTTGTCACCTCTTCTTCTGCACGATCCTGTGTGGTTCTGTGTCTCACAGCAGTACCTGCGCTGTAGGTTGGACCAAGTAGGTCAGCCAAACTGCACATGTCCTTTGTTCGTTTGGGTGGTGGTGGACCAGCAGCACAGTTGTCCTCCTTAACTTCTTCAGAATCGTCCTCCTCCACAGGCATCTCCTCAGTCACGGTCTTAAGTTCAGCCTCTTCCTATATTGTAAAGCAAATTACATGTTTGTGTTAAGTTTGCGTTCATAAACTTTGAAGGCATAAGTAAGATAATACATCTATATGAAAGTTATAATATATACTGGGTTATTATTTTCAAACACATTGTACTTTTAATTTAAAATCAACTATTAATTTAATGTTTACTATTTAATATTTAATTTTGTACTTTTAAATGTTATTTATGATGAACATTTTATTTATATATTTATTTGCGAAACAACAAATTAACATACCTCAAATGAATCATGAATTCTTCCAGCCTCTGCAATGACTCTCATGTAGATTTCATCTCGTTGATCATCAGGAAGGAAGGGCAAAGCCTTGAATCGTGGATCCAGTGCTGAGCATAAATACATAGTCTCTTTCTGTTCATCCTTGTACCTCTTGCTCAGATCCTCACAAATGGCTGCTTTGATTTCTTTCACCAAAGTGGAATCAGATGGACTCTCTTGCAAATCATGGATGAGCTGAGCATGAAGTGGTGCAACAACTGATAGTGTTGGTGTATTTTCCTTGGACATCACTAGTGTAGCTACCTTCATGGGCTTCATGGCATCCACAATGTCCTCTGCAGCTGTTATATCTGACTCACTGAGGGTGCACACTTCTTTCTCTGTCTTTCTCACCTCACTTGACAGCAGAGCAGCAGATATCGCTGGCTGCTGCTCAAGAAATCGTTGAAGCATGTCGTGCGCACTGTTCCACCTGGCCACAACGTCAACTATCAGTTTGTGCTCCAGTAACCGCAGCAGCTTTTGCTTCTGGCGGAGTACGTGGCTGGCTGTGGTGCTGCGTCTGAAAAAATTCGAAATGCGTCTCACGCGACCCAACAGACGCGTGACTACAGGTAGTTTCAAAGCGCGCTGCGACGCCAGGTTCAACGTGTGGGCAAAGCACTTGAAATGTAACATCCCCGTGAGCTCCACCACGACGCTCATATTAGCGGCGTTGTCTGTCACAATAGCCGGGTCTTTGCAAGTGATGTCCCATTCCTCAAGAGCTGCGCTGAATAGCTCCGCAATGTTGGTCCCGGTGTGACTTTCATGCATGGCTCTAGTTTGTAAAACATGTGAAATTAGCTCCCAGTGTTCGTTGACAAAATGGCTCGTAACTGTTACATACGATTCCGTGGCACGGGAGGTCCACCCATCACAGGTAAGGGCCACTCTCAGAGCTGCACTTAGACTGGTTTTAACTGCGTCTTTCACCCTATGGTACATTCGCGGGACCGCCACCTCCGTTAAATGTTTACGTGTGGGAATCACATAACGCTGATCTAATGTGTTTACCATGAGGTGAAAGCCTGGGTTCTCCACAACACTGTACGGGCACAGACCTTGGCAGATATAATGCACGATAGTGTCTGTGATCTTAAGTGCACGCGGAGAGTTGGAGGCTAGTTTACTTATTTGGCTATCCAAAGTGGGTTGTTTTGGGTCCATGCTTTTCTTTGGGGGCGGCAAGGCTAGCTTATCTGGGTGGTGGCGCTGCATGTGAACTCGGAGGTTGGTCGTATTACCTGAATATTTGATAGCAGTTTGGCAATGCATACAAATGGCGCTAGTCTTGTCCATCCCCTGCCCCTTTTCTTGGGCTTTAAAACCATAATGCGCCCATATGTCTGCTTTTAAAGTAGAAGGTGGTTGAAAAATCTTTCCTGCCATTTTTCTATTTTCGCTTCTCTTACGCGCTTCTCTTCTCCAGTAAAGACGTGGAGGCGCGGCTATACTGCCCCCTAACGTTCGAGGGGAATATCGATACTAGAAAATGAAGAATCGATACTGTATTGATTCGAAAAATATCGATATGTATCGATGTATCGATATTTTAGCACACTCCTAGTTATAACTATAAAGTAGTTATTCAAATGTTCATCTTCAAATGTTTTTCCTTGAGGTAACCCAGCAAGTCATGCAAGACAACTCAAAAAGAAAAAAGCCATGCTGTATGCACAACATGTGAATGGTCTTTGTTTTTTGTCTCCAAATCCATAATCATCTGCGACTGGTCAGCAATGTGCAGTGTTTTCACAAATTCCTCCGGGCGTCCTTCAGAGTATTTACGGTTTTTGTGTTGATTAACAATCGCACATGGAGGTAACAGTTGTGAAAAGTACCTGATAATCTAAAAATATTTTTATGAGAAGCCGACCCATTAATAAATTTGTATATTTGATTTTTAAAATCTGATGCTTTAGATGAGGGCTGATGGGTTCATAACATGCAGTTTTTAAGCAGAAGAGTCTGGTCATCCAAACTCTAAAGGTGTAAGTTGAGACCATAAATTGTTTGAGACCATTGTTTTAGGTAAATGCTAATGATGGGCTACATTTTAAGTGAATGACTGTGTGCTTTGCCAGACCATTAATGTGACACTTTTTTTTTCTTTTGAAGAAAACAGGGACTCGTCTACACCTAAACAGATGTTGCCCTGAGGGACGATTGACAGGTGGATTAGCCCATCAGGGACGAGCATGGTCCATCTGTATCAAAACAAATATTGCCGTTTAGGAGAAAAAAGGGAAAGAGATCACAGAGGAAACATTGCAGATTCAGCAAAATGAATAAGTGAAAGCACTAAACTCAGTTAATCTGAGGTAAGAGAAATGTTTTATTATTCAAGATGATGGGTGACCAGTGAGCTCCTTCGTTTCACATGTGTCACTAAGGTAAACAAATGTGATTGCACATTCATGTTTGGTTCTGGCTAGAGACACGACAGAGGGCGTGGGGACCAGACTGATATCAATCTGTATAAATAATACAGAGAAATATTCTGGATTTGCCAGGCAAAAACAGAAGTCAAACTGGATTAAAAACACATTTAATCCCAGGGTTAGGGTTAGCAACAAAAGATCTATCAGCGGCATTTTAATCTGTAATCATTGGTTCTCTAATTTTTTTTTTTTAAGATTAAATAAATAAAAATGCAACTAATCTCTGTACCCAACTATTAAATGTATAAATAACAGTGGCCTGCTCTGAATTCAACAGTAAGCACAATTAATAAAATCATCTAAAAACAAGAACAACCAGAAACTCCAGACTGAGTTAAGAAAAGGTCCAACCTAATCTGCTTCTCTGAGTCACTGACATGATAGTTTGCAAGTCATTGCTTAAACTTTTTACATACAATTTAGTAAGTGAAGCTACATGACAAATATTGTATTTTGTTCATCTAAATTCAGACAGTACCTTAAGATTTAGTTTTTACTAGAGTTAGTTATATTATTTAGTCTGGTGGCAGAAAATCTTGGTTATCATCATTTCCAAAATAGGTATATTTGTAAATTCAAAATCATAACAAATAAGTGGTTCAAAAAGTGCCTTAGTGGAAACCACCATCTCAGATACATCTGACAGACCAGACAACACAGCTTTGACTGATTGTCTGCAGTATTAACCAACACTGAGAGACCAAACTTAAGACATCAACATGCAATCAAACACAAATGACATCTTTGCACTTAGCATGTGACATTGCTGCTGAAGGAAGTGGTTTTGAAAATTGCCAGGAAATCAAAGTTGTACAGAAATGCACTTGAGAAGAGCATGACAGAGCAGAAACGGGGTAAGGAAGGCCTCAGCGTGTTCCTCCTGATCAGACAACAAAGCCATGGCCTTTGTACCATCTTATAACATGATCTATGCTGCAATAAAGACCTATTTGTGGGTTCTCACTTAAAATTATATCAAGCTCCATCAATAATGCTCAAGTTGTGCTAACACACTCGCTCATTCTTGTTCCTTCTGTAGCCTGCCCTAGTTAAAAATAGCTCTACCCTCTCTTTTTCTCTCCTTCTCCGTTTACATAAGCTGCACGGCCAGGGGGAGGGGAGCACTTCCGGTCCGGCCACCCAGCGCAGCATCTGATCTGTACCACTGGGGCTGCTGGGTGTGGGAGAGAGGAGGGAGGAGAGATCCCGCAATGCAGGGAAGCCCTCCGATTTGCTATTTCAATCGCTTTCTCCTCGCCACCAATTCCCTTTTCTAACATTAGCACCACCCTGTCCTGAATTAGAACGATTTGCGATCGCTTTGTTAGCCCAGAATAGCCTGGTTATTGGGGCCTCTGTTTTACTGAATCAAACATTATATAAAAGGACACAATGTATGCCCAGACATTAGAATTATCTCGTTGCTTTTGGGGACAAGAGGTAGTAATAAGAAGCAAGGCATTCAAAAGCACATATTCAGTAATAGGCATCAATGACCACACACATTAAAAACAAAAATGACTAGCATTATGAATTACAGAAAAAAAACCCAAAAAAACAAGTTAACACAAATTATATTTGTATAGCCCCCGCCCTTCAACAGCTACATGTGACCACTGAATGCTTCTACACAGAGGAGGCCTCATCGAGATCAGACAGTGGATGAAAAAATACCAGAAAGGAAGAGGACACAAGAGGAGAGCGCTTAGCTCAGTTATTCCAATATCTTTGAAATCAGAGGTGTGAAGAAACAAAAGTGATGAAGGCCTTTTTTAGGATATGTTCAATTATAGTACTGAGTAAAAGAAAACTGATTATAAGGATTTTTGGAACTGGGAGAATCAGGAAAAAATATCAAGATAGGGCAGGGGTTCAGTGGCAGAACCCAGTTCTAGCCATTTCATGATGTTGTGTCCTTTAGCAAGACACTTTGATTGCCTTGGCTCCACCGTCTAAGTTCACTGGTGTTTGAAAAGGTGAGTGAGAGTGCAAATATGGGATAGGATGTAAAAAGTTGTACATTATTCTGTGCAACTAGAATGTGCAGAGTCACGCATCCAACAAACAGTTCATTACCACCATGTGAACTTTTACACCTCACATGAAGCACATGTCCCAAAGCATGAACATACCTCGAAGTACAACTGACAACATATGCATCCACAAAAATGTATCTAACAGAGTTTGTCCAGTCCATGTATTTGGATAAATGCATTAGAACATTTGTGTGAGTAAATGAGACTTACTACTGCGCACAGTCAATGAGTTGATATTCATTGGACCTTTCCCAGCAGGCTCGCACACCCTCATCCTGCCAGAGGAACTTTGCATGGTCATAAAACTCCTGGAAAGAGAAAAAAATAAACCACCATGTCAAGATCATAAGATTTCAAATAAGGAATTCTTGTTTTACTGCATGAAACAATCAGAATTCATCCTTGATTGAGCAACCATATTTTTCACAATCTATTTGGAAGCTATCCCTTTGTATTAAAATACAGACAGACAGGGCGATTCTAGGCTTTCAAGTTTGTGGGTGCTTAGCACCAAGGAGGTAATATAAGAGTAATGTATGTGAACGTAGAGAATACCATAACAAGTTCTCCAATAAGTAGAACACTTTCTTTTCCACCTCTCGCCATTTCGTTATATAAATCTATGCCTTTAGATCAGTGCTTCCAAAACTAGCATGTTTGCGTCAAGTCTTGTTTTGTAGTTTACAGCCTATTGTTTAGTCCTCCTCATTCCTTCCAATAGGTACTATAACCTGTTCAATACTACTACTGTATTCAACTATATTCTCAATTGTCCTTTTCTGACCCTCTTCTATAATTGTTTTTTCCTGTGTCTGAATTTGAATGTGTGAATGAATTGGCATTATTGTCACCTGCCATGGTTTTTTCCATCATGTCATGTGTGTTTTATCTGGATTCACACTTTTCTCTTAATCACTAGGTTTGGAGGTTGTGTCATTTTCTTTACCTTTTTACGCTGTCAATCATAGTAGATAGATAGTAGGTTTAATATCTTATTAAAATATATTCAAAACATAAAAGTAGGATATTAGCATCACATCATTTCACTTTACTTTAATTATACTATACAGTAGGCCTAACCTGTTAACCTTCTGTTTTCTGTAACAAGCATAAAGGAACCATAACAGATGGCTTTGACATTCTTGGTAAAGAGATTTATATTGCCTATTGATTTTTCTCTTTGGTCTAAACCAGACTGTGGTCTGTCAGCGGTCACATTTCTATGACAAAAGTCCGATTTCATAATTTAACGGGGTAATAAACTATTAAAAGTATCCGTTCTGTCGATAGGAGCAGATACAAAAAAATTTACAAAATCTAGCGCTTCATCTGCCCGTGCATGTGCGCAATGTGATTTTGACCAATCAGAATGAGAGAGGCGGGTCTTAGAGCTGAGATACGCAGCGCTATTGGCTGACAGTGCGCTATGGTGCCTGCTTGACAGACAAGGGAGAAATGTGTCGGCAGAGAAAAAGAGAAAGACAGAAAGAGAGAACCACAGACCCACAGATCTTAAATCAATTAATTTAATAAATGTTTAAGATGCTAATACCGCTGCAAAACGCAGGATATTTCAGCACAGATATCCTTTCAGGCTAATAAAACAGTTAGCTCAGTAAAATAACAAAGATCTCTTAATTTTAGGGGTGCTGAAGCACCTAGACTCGGGTCTAGACTCACCTCTGCAGACAAATATGAAAAAGACCCAATACCCACTCTCACATTCATTCAATATGTACATTTTAATTTTAAACTCTGCAATTCAATGACTATTCCTCAGAAAGTAAATGACTAGGTTGACATTGTAAACGAGAATTTGAGCTTCCAGATTAGATAAAAAGTAAAAAATAGCAGGGTATGGATGAGAACAATAGATTATATTTTGTATTATTTATTTTTTTGATAAAAGGACAGGGGGTTGGAGCCAGAGGAGTGATACATGACAGAGGCAGGAAACAAAGTTCACGGAGTTCACGAAGAAACTCTAAGCTCTCAGAGGTCTGTACTGATGGAACCTGGCTGCTGTCACCATTTCTGCTCTATTATCGCCACAACAAGAAAAAATAACTCATTAGAACTACACAGGATTAAGAAAGCAACTCATCTATAAGCCAATTTAAGAAAATATGTTCAGAGCCAATTCCTTGATGTTCTATGCAACTTTTTAGGGTTGGGCAATGTGTTTTTAATAATAGAGAATTTGAAAAATTGCATAATCGAAACAATAACTCCTGACATTCTTACTTGCCAAGCAGGTTTATTGTAAAATTAAACATCATCAATCTAATTCACACTATTAAACTTAGATTACATATCTATGCAAATGTAACTGAAGAAAGTTTACAATTTCTTAAATAGCTCTGACTCTGAATAAAATGTATTTAAAATCATAATCATCCAGTGTGTGAAAACTAATCTAAATTTATTTTTTGTTCATATTGCCCAGCTCTATAACTTAAAAATCTATACTTCAAATACAAATCATCAGATTTTATTGTAAATTGGTTAAAAGATGCAATGATTACGTAAGATCAAGCATCTTTGGAAACAGGGGTTGCTGGGGTCAGCATCAGGCCTTTTCTGTCAGAGTTAAACTGATTATGTAGTTATATGATCAAAATATGATCAAATTGCACCCAAGTAATAAACAGTGGAATAGAGAAAACTGTGATTTATACTTTGACAACACCTTCTTTATTTAGTTTAATCCTATAGAGATTTAACCAGGTCTTGTATGCTTTATATCATGATACAAACACTGTTAACCAGTCCAACTTGTTTCAACCAGCCCAAGGCCAATAACAGGAGGCAGGCCAAGAAGTAGGAGGAGTCAGTGAAGCCATGGCCAATCAGAGCAACAGATAGCCCCTATAAGCTTTTGTTTAGTTCAACAGAGTGGGCAAGACTGATATTTTTGTTTTAACATTTGAGTCAATCCTCTGTTCTGTACAATTTATTTTTCTCTTCTTTTTTTTCAGAAATATGTCTTATTCATTTTACAAATACAAACACAAAACTTTCTTTAACCTTCAAACCATTATTTCAGAATAAATTTCCTAAATAGCAGTGCAGTCTAACTGTATAAGGGGCAGCACAAATATCATTTTCAAACAGGTCATAATTCAATTATCATTGGATTGCAGTTGTTGATATTAAACCATTAAGAAACTACACTACAAACATTGGTATATGATATAATCATATAAAGAATATTAAATATTATGAATTCTACCTGTCTATATGCTACATAAAGATCTGATAAATTTATAGAAGGAAAATTTTAATTTTAAAGGTCAGATCCCTTTCAGTGGCATATGTGAACTTCAAACCAAAACATTGAAAGGAATATTTTACCAAATTTAATTTCATTGAAACTGGGGAACAGGTGGGAGAACAATACTTTATGTTGCCACTTTTTGTATGAAAAGCATTTTATAAATATAGTTTTGATTGATTTGACCCATAAGCCTGGAGTAAGGACTTTATGAAATTGGCCCGCATTTGTAAGTTGCCGTGACGCACCAGACACAACACCAGGAGCCTACCTTATGCTTACATACAAATACAATTGGCTCTTAACTGGAAACTCTCTGCTACACAGATCTGCATCACCAGAGAGCAGCGAGCGTCTGGTCTCACTAAAGCTGGAAAAACACTGCAGCAAGCCGCCTTGTTTTGTCCACACACATGTTGCCTTTCTGTGGGCTCAACACGACTTCTCTAACACAGATATTGATTTAAAAAATTAGTGAAAGTATTTTGGTCATCATGTTTTTTATACATTGTAATGGGGATTGTTTATATATTTCCACTAAATCTAGTGGAGTCAAAATCTAAACAACTATATTATTCAAACTTTAAATTCAAATAAAATCTGGCTTTTTTCTGCTACCAGGGGGCTTATAGTACAGCTGAACTAAATCTGCATTTAACCAACATGAAACTAAATGATAGTAATCTCATTTTGTATTAAAATACCATCTTACTGCAAAGGTCTTTTTGATGAAAACAAAACAAAACAAAAAAATCTGACACAAATAAAACGCACACTGATTTGTCCGAGGGTCATGTGACATCCCCCTGAGTTTGAGAGGAGGTTACTCCAGAGGCATTAAGGATATTAGCAACAATGAGAGCTAATCTCTGTGGATCTCTCAGGTGAGATGCTTATTCATTTGACATGGTCCCCAGTGGAAGCACACCTGCTAATTACTGAGCTGCTCACCTAGGCACCAGACCACAACCCCGACAGCCTCAGGAGGAACCCATTACTAGTGCTAATACTATATCAACAACATTCAACAACATTCAACATGGGAACCCAAATCAGTCTGGAATTCATGGGACATTTTATTCTAATGATAATAAAATGGTTGATTTGACTATACAATCCTGGAAATGTATTCATAACAGATTCATATAATTACTAAAATACTACTAGAAATACTTGATACAAATACAATGATCAATTTGTTGATATAGTGTAAACTGAAACTTCTCATAAAATGAGACAGAATGGGTGAAAATCATGTGTTAAACATTAGGGTTAGGGTTGTAGTAAAAGAGAGTAACACTTACCGAAGGAAACTCAAAGTCTTTCTGATTTACTAAGTTCATGACGTACTCGATTCGGGACTGGTTTGCAGGACAGGCTAACTGGCATGGCGGTGTGAGCGTGCTCATGGCAGCCACAATAGTCTGAAAAAAGAATAAAATAAAAAAGTACATTGACTTTTAACATTTTTCCCAATAGTGTGACTTCAAGAACTTGAGAATGAAAGAGTAATTACCTCTATAGCTTCTTTAATGTTGTTTTTAATGTCATGTATTTTCTGCTGTTTCTCCCTATAAATAGCAGAGTACAGTTAGAGATTTGTATAAATGCAATACATTTATTACAAATGAATCATAAATAACAGTGCATAGTGCTTCATGCAATACGCCCAACCTTCAGTATTTTATACTGTTACACTTTAGCAGACCTTCAATGCGCTCCTTTTTAAAAGGTCCATTAGGTGTTTAGCTATTTGCTACTTGTAAGGGTTCCTATATTTCTGTTTTGTTTCACTTTCATTACACTAAAACTGGAAGATAACAAGACTCCTTTTCCTCATAAATATTGACCTCAATTTTCAATTCATTGTCAATATTCATTTCCTGAATATAAACAAGACAGGCTTTTAATAATTGCCATTAAAACAAAA